TGTGACATTAACGTCTCTAAAATTTTTTTACATTCCATTTACTATTTAGTCTTCTTGAAATTCCTTGTTTTCTCTGATGATTTTCAGCATTTTTTTTTCAATAAAGGCAGGGAAATAATTACTCACTGCTTTTAAGCTTTATTAGAAACCATAAATCTTAAGATTTTAAAGGAAGGAATGATTGCGGAAATAAAAATGGAATATTTAATTAAAAAAGAAAGGTGAAAAATTGAAAATTTTAAACTAATACATAGTTAGCGTGCTAACGAAAGAAAGAATTATTATTTATTTAAACTGCCGAGTTTAGTGGCCTTCTATGATACATCTCGGCTCTAATCCGGTGAGGGAAACAAAGCCTTTTTAAATAGAAGGGGAAGAAATTATTTGCTGTCTTCCTAAAATAATCAATACAGAAAATGTAATTCAAAAAGGATATAAAATTTGTTTAAGAATTTGATTACATGATGCGTTGAAGAAGGAGGCTAATCAGAACATTTTCATAAATTTGCTATAGGTTATTTTGAACGTATGTATTAATTGTATGTTTTATTTTGACCGTATGAACAAATTATTATTTAAATTTGAACATTTTACTTCATTTTAGAGGGTATATCGGATTATTTTGAACTTATAATAAATAACCTGTCCTTATAAAAGGATTAGCATGATACAACTTTATGTAATAAAAATTATACACTGCAATAAAGAGTAATGGAATTGGGTTGCAAAACCGTAAAATATACAATGTAGATTTCAAGTCACAACGGTTTTTGCAATATAAAAACAAATTTTCCCTCTCAAAATACAAAAGTAAATCCGTAGTGAGAATGGTTTATCACACTATTCTGTAAAAGATGCGAAGTAAATCTATAGGGGAGAGTGGGGTCAATTGTAACGTTTTTTACTTAACTTTTTTTATCTAACAAAAAATACAATATATTATTAGTATTAATTGACAGACGAGTAAAGTAGACTATCCTCTACTAGAAAAAAAAATAAATACCTTATTTTAAATGTTATTATATTAGTTATTAACAATTTTTGACAGTCGTGCACTTGTTACAATTGTCCCCACTTACGGGGTCAATTGTAACAGTTCATAAATTCAACTAAAACATAGTTAATTATACATATTATCATAGTTGTGATATATTTTTTTATTGATCAAAATAGTAGTGATATTTTAGGAGTAAAAATAATAATGAGCAGAGACCTAAAGGGTTAAACTTTTAACTTTAAGGGGTTAAAAATTTTAATTTATGCTGTGAAAGGTGACAAATAAAATAATGCACATGCAACATAATATAAATGATATAGGAAACTATTGGTGGTTCTTAAAGAGTTAAGTAATGGTTTGTAAACATAAGATTATTTATTTTCAGCTGTTACAATCGTCCCTTTACTTATTGTTACAATTGTCCCCAAGACGACATTTCAGCTTCATTTGTTTAAAACAATGATAGTTAATTAACAAAACTAATCTTTTTTTTTGAAATGTTAATTAAGGTGTCCACTTACATATTCGGTTAATAATTTTTATTTGTTTAAACAAAATTACATTGTTATAATATTCTTATACCAAAAAAAGTACTTATGTAGAGTGAAAATATCTTTCGTGATGTAACTCTTTCAAAAGTACATAAAAATGGTTGCCAGCAGGGGTGTACATGTAGATTTATTAAATACACCTTGTGCGCCACCTAGGAACCAAATTTAGAACCCGACACTCGAAATTTTTGCTCTGTCACAATTGGCCCCACTCTCCCCTACTCACAATGGATTTTTAACAAGTTTTCTCCGTGCAGGTTATGAAGTAAATCTGTACTCATTCTTTATTGGAATGATCGCACTCTGTACCTGGAACCACCCTGACTCTAATGTTTTATTACGAGAAAAAAAAAGCCTGAGACTATTCTTAATTTACGTGTCTAAGATACGGAAATTACATTCAAGAGTAAAAACGCTTAAAACATTTGTGGCCCTCTCTGTTGCCATTTGCAACTTAGTAAAAAATTAAATTAAAGAAAGAAAAAGATTGTAATCAGTTAGAGAATCAATTTTACAATTAATTTGAACTACAGATTTATTTATAAAATATTCAATACCATAAAAAATAGCTAAAAATTAAGAGGAAATACAGAAAATAAACGTAAAATGATTTGAAGAAAGATAGAGTTACCGTTCGACAGGAAAAAATGTAATGGAAACGAATTCGAACTGACGGTTTTAATTCGCCTATGATTAAATATTCCATTATGATTATGTTAAAAAATGGTCAAAAATCTTTTTTTTTTAACAAAACAACTTTAACCGTCAAATATACGGTGAAATTCTGAAAAAATGAGTAATTTTTGCAGTGGTGTCGACTGTTTTTGAAGAAAAAAAAAAGAAAAAAGAAAAGAAAAAAAAACTAGAAGCCTCTTTGTAACTTAGCCCTTGTAACTTGAAATATATTTAATCGTATGTTCCGAAGCATTAATTTCATAATATTCTGTTTAAAAAAAATTAATTTTTGTTTTCATTCCCATTAAATATTTTCTGCTTGCAATTCTGAAACGGTTTGTTGCTAAATTGGCAGTATTGGCGCTATTTTTTCTGGTCGACTGGATTGGCACATGCACCAATACCACGATGTAAGAATAATGTTATAAATTTCTCCAGTAGAGGGTTATATTTTTGTATTTAGAAAAGAAGAATATTTAGTTTGTGATTCCAGAATTCTAGAATTTAAATATACGCAAGTCATTCTTGCTACATAATTCTATTTCATTAATATATCCCATATATTAACGACTAAAGCGCAATAAAAAAAGTTTTAGGGGTTTCAGAGTATAATAATTTTAACTGTCTTGAAACTGAATTTCTCTTTTGCCTGAGTAAGAATAAGTATATTTACGCTTAAATTTACCTGTGATGTATAAATATTTCTTTAATATTCTATAACTTATGTAATCTTTGCTTAAGGCAGGTTTTTTACTAAAGTACTTAAACTCTTATAATGGAAAGTTAAATTTTTATTCAAGCAATCTCTGAATTTTCATTTTGCCTGAGATTTCACATACTTCTATTTCTTTTAAAATTAAAAAAGTAAATGACACACTGTTGCATTCAAAAACAATAAAAAATATAAGTTTTTTCAACCCTCCAATGTAGAAAATAATGTAAAATAACCCTGAAAATATATAGCAATTTGTAGGGGGAAAAATGCCATGCAAATGTGTGATTCTACTCAAAAGATATTAATGAAAGTTAGTTTTTCAGCAATGAATTTCAAGAATGGATTTTCATAGTTTCAATACCTCTTAGGATAATAACATTAGTTTGCAACTCACCTCATGAAATTTTGCAAACTGCAAAAAGAATAAATTATCCAAATCGGTGCTCCGGTTTAAATCCGACTAGTTAGATTAGTTAGAGTATATCCAAACGTTTTCGTACTTTCAGTTTTATGTATAGAGAGGTTTACAAACAAATTATTACAAAATGAAAAATTTAAAAAAAATATTTGAAGGACACCAAAGGATGCGTTTTTCCTTATTTAGTCAATATAAATAATCTTCCCTTATTTACCATCACGTGATTTTATACACCTTCAAAACATAATTCACACATTTATAAACATGTTAAATATGACACATTTTAAGGAGGTCACTTCACTTTTTTCCCCAACTGCATTTCTAAATGTTTATTTAATAATAAAAATCAAACTCTGACAATTCCAAAACAATTTTAGTTTTTATTCTAGTTGAATTTGAAATATTTGCATGCATGCTTTTTCAAAAACTATCGGTGCCATTTATGCATCGTGCTGCCTGTTCCATTTAGTGATGTTTTCTCAAAACTGAAAATTTCAACAAAAAATAAACGTTTATTTTTAAAATATTACTAAAATAAATCTGAATTTTTGTATGCATAATCCTATGTTAGTTACATTGCAAAAGCTTATTCAAAAAGAATTCGTTAACAAAATTGTGGTGCTTTTTTGGCTTTTTTTTTATAGATCTGCTCGTATGAAACTAAGAAAGAAATATTTCCTAAAAACATTTTAATCCAGATTTTTAAAAAAAAAATTTTAATTTAAAAAAAAGATTTTTTTTAAAAAATATGGATATAAATTATTGCAAAAAGAATACTTGATCTATGAAAAAAAAAGTTCGAGTGTATTGTCAAATTTTAAAAAATGTGCCTTAAAAATAGCAATTTTCAACATTATGGGTATGTGCTGCGTGAAGTGATCCCATTAAAAGGAATGACAAATAACGATATTGGTGACACCACGATAGAGCATTCTACTAATTGATGGCAACAATTTCAATATCACTGAGTAACACACATGCTGCATCTGATTATTTTTAAGGATGTGAGATAAACATTTATCAAACAATATAAAATCACTTAGAGCACCACTTATGACCAAAACTAGAAGAAATATTGGGGTCATTTTTTCCTCCAATATCTTCTGATGTGAACTACGAAGCTCATGTTTTTTTTTCCTACTACTTCTTTCTGAAATGGTTTCAAGTGCAATACAGTGAAACCTCTCGGGAGCGCCTCTCCGTTAAACAGTAAAATAATCTTGATGAAGGTGAGTCGTTTTTAGAGGTTACCACCATTTACTTCAAAATTGTTATCGAAGGTCCAGATTTTGCGGAAATGCCACTTCGGTTGGTGTCACGAAAAGACGGATATCATTATATGTAAAAAAAAATATGTGTTTATGCTAGCGCACTTTAGCATCCAAATAGAGTCTCGGTGCTGCCATCTAGTGTGGCAGAAACTAGACGTCCAAATTAACATGACCAACGATATCTCACCCATTGTGGTGGTCCTGAAAGAGTGGATAGCACCTCTGGAGAACGCCCTAGGTCTGCTCATCGGCAAGACCGATTGTGCAGCTCATTGGAAATTTGTATGATACAGCTATTTTAAATAAGTAAAAAATTATGTTTTTTGTTTAAGTTTGCATTTAATTTTATATTATAAAAATTAGATAGCTTTGAAGGATGAAAAAGAGGTTTGTTTGTTTGAGACGGTTGTTTTTTCCAAAACAAGCTTTTTTTCTAACTTAACTTTCAACTCGGAAAATAAATCATTGACCGCATCGTCTTTTGTGAACTCTGACTGCAAAATGAGGCTGTATCATCAAAGAGAGCTATAAAAGCGTCACACAAATATTTCGAATGCATTTTAATCTACTTATTTGTTTTGTTACATTTTTTTGTTTTGATAATTTTTCATGTTTCCTTATTTGACCATTTCCGCATTTGGTAGATGTTTGACCGATGACTGGGAGAGGCTTTAATGGTCTCTCCTAAAGGTTCTCATCAACACAAAGTCAATGGAAAAAATTCCGTGCCTCACAAAAGAGGGGTGGTCAATAGAGATGATGGCTACATAGAGGTGGTGTATCTCCTGGAGGTTTCACTGCATATCAAATTTTAATTGGCCAGTAAAGATTTCTAAACCAAATAATCATGGAAATACCTAGAACAGCCAGCAGATATAATTTTAACCCTCATAATAAATACGTTCTAGCTTGAAGAGAATGCCTGCTTTCGTCATTTCAAAATTGCCGTTGATTGGTAACGAAGCATTTTGTGATCCTCTGTCTTCAAAGAAACAGTTATAATTTGTACCACTGTGCAAGAATAGTCTGTAATGCGGTATATTACACTACCTGTTAATATTATTACGTGATTTTCTAGTGCTTAAAAAAATTACATTACATTAAAAAACTATATTATAAAATCTTTAAAAACTCAAAAGTATTGTTTTTTTGCACTATAAAACTTTTACTTCTGTATGACTTTCATTTTTTCTAAGGTCAAATTAATCGTCAATGGTTTGGCTGCTCAAGGGCTAAAAAATATTCAATTTGTGATCAATCACAAGCTAATCGTATTCCGGACCCGAATGGGTACGACGACCGGAATGACTGATATTTGGCAATTCTCTGGCTCGATACCGCTTTGCGGGTGTTGCCTCTCTAAGTTCAATTGCTTCGCATTCTTGGTGAGGATTCTTGGGTGACAGTCTGTTGTTATCGTTCACAGGCATGTGAGTTAAGTGAGTGATGACGGTAGCTTCTCTGTGCAAGCGAGTTCGGGTACATGGAATCAGTTTTCGAAAGAAAGCTGAGAAATCAAACATGTAGCTACCGTACACCAATGGATTGACACAGGAATTGGAAACAGCAAACATGAACAGTGATGACTGCACTCTCGAATCTATAGCTTCAGCAGAGTTCGGATCGAAAAGGTACCACAGATCGATGACCACATAAGGCGTCCAACAGCAGAAAAACGTGATGATGATGATTACGGTCATTTTTAAAGTTCGCGCCCTTGATTTCTCCAGCCTCGAGACATCGGAGATTCGTAGATGAAGACGTCTAGATAATGAGCGATCAGGAAGGTTTGGTTCATCTGTAAGGAAGTCATATCTTGAAATATTTTATTTAAAAAAAAATATCGCGAAAGGAAATATTAATCAGGTTATAAGAACATGCATTAATTCCATTGCAAATATGCATGCATTTATTCCATTATAAGCACCATATTTTGACTCAAAAGAAAAAGCACAAGCGTTCACATACATTTAATAACAGGATTAAAGTAGAAATGTTGTTGATGTATGATCAATTACAATGGATCTTTATAAATTATCACTGTGTGAAAATAAATAAAGCATTCCCATAGTCAGTCGTTTAGAATAAGAAAGGGCTCAAGGCTATATGATTTCTTTATCGATGTGGCCACTATTGTGTCCTAGACTAGCTGATGGCCATTGATCTGAAGCCAAGGGATTTTCAAGCAGCCACTGGATATAATAATCCCACTGCAGCAAAATAACAACCCATTGCTTTAAACATTCAGGAGCTGCAAAAGGAGAAACGAAGCAATTTACCAGATCTGTGTGCTTCGAAATTGTATGTACTAATACGATAAGACCAAATTAAGATAAGATCCATAAGACCATGAGCCGTTGGAGTGTTGAAAAAACTCGTCTCATATAGGATACCATATGTGAATGGGGAATCGCATGACCATGGTTTTGAACGGATTAAGCTCCGAGCAATCATGGCTTCAAATTAATATTTAAGCCCTATTAAAGTACAAAATTGATATTAAAATCTTAGGAGCAACTATTGACTTATCTTGCAACTTTTTAATATTTAAGCAATTTTTTACTACTACTTTGACTGCTAAATAAAACTTGAATGAAGATGTTTCAAATGAACTTTTACATTTTCTAAGTTTTTCGAATTTTTAGATCACATCCTCTCAGTTTTGTTGTTTCTGCTCTCGGCTTCTTTGAGAATAATTCGCTGGGTTTCAATTTTTTATCATTATTTTTTTTTGTTTGAATAATAATTTATAAGAAGACGGAAGCACCTGAAGCTTCAGATTTACTTATTTTTGCAGACAAAGAGGTTTGAAGACACTCAATTCCCGTTCCCATGCGTTAAAATGCTGATTAAAAGGTGAAAGTTTTTAACCTGCTTCTCTTACGCAGGAAAAATAATTTTTTATACAAATATTATTATATAAATGATTATGCAAATATTATTTTTCACAATATTTTCTTTTTTTGGAATTTTTTATTATTAACGCTTAGATTAATATTGAATGGGCTGATCCCAACAAAGACTGAGTGCCAAGTTGGAAAATTTTGAATTTTGCGATTTAAATAACGCTTTTTACAAATTTAGGGAAATAAAATATTTATAGTAAAAAAAATTAATGTCAAAAGTAAATTTAATAGGTACGTAATTTTCTAATCATAATTTTCGAATTACGAAAGCTTTTTTTTTTTGAAGCAAGACAAATCTTTCTCAATTTTCAAATAATTGCTTAAAGTGATTCATTTTGAATTTTATTTCATTCATAAAATGCAAACAACTTTACCGATTTTGTATTTATTTTAAAAGTAGAATATTATAACACAGAAGACCAGCTATTGAAGAACATCAGTGAAAGTTATTTTCCTTTGCATTCTGTAATAATAATTAAGCTTATTGAAATAACGAGAAAAAAAACACCTTTGCAAATTTTCGAATATAGACCATAAAAACAACTCACAAGCTATTATAAAAGCTTAACGACCGATTCAATTCGGAGCGATAAACCCGAATTTAATTTTTCTAAAAAAATTTATTACGACGAAAAGTGACAGAAAGGAACTTTAAATACTTTATATATTTCTAATTGCAATTACAATTATATAATATTAGTATTGTCAATATAAATAAAAATTAATGTCTGTTTGTGTGTCCTTTAGTTATTCCTAAATCAAAAGAGATCGAAAGAGATGAAATTTGCCTTACAGATAATTCGAAGCACGAGAAAGGTTAATGTTAACATTAGAATATTCTACGACAAGTCGTTCGAGCGGGATGGGTGGAAAGCGAAACGGATTTTTCGGATTGATTAAGTGTTAGCTATTGTGTTAAATTTAACTATAGACGATTCAATTTTTAAAATATTTTTAAGATAACACCAGTGATATTTGCCAGCTTATAGCTCTAATTCATCAAAAAAAAAATTTATTGCACGTACTTTAATACTGAATTAGTTTTTATTTGCTATATAAAATAAATTCAATTCAATTCAACATTGAACGTTAATGGCTCAGGGTATAGAGCGTTCTCCTTCCAAGGAGGTGAACCGGGTTCGAAACTCAGCGGTGGCTGGTCGATACGAATTCCTCACGTGGCTTACACCGACCACAGCGCTGACGTAAAATATCCTCAGTGGTAGACAGATCATGGGTTGCAGTCCCCTTGACATCAGGCTAATCGTTTCTCTCTCCTTGTAACGCCCATGCAAGTTAGTTTCATCAAACAGTCCTTCGGGAAAGTAAATTTCTTCTAATACCTAATCCAAGAGTTCCCTTGTCTTCTGGATTTAGTTCAAAATTGCAAAGCTAGGTAGTTCAACATTGGTAATCGTAAATCCAAAATGGAGTAGGCTGTTCAAACACGGTTATAAACAACATTAACGTAATGGTATTCGCTAATTACGTCACCAAATTAATATTTCTAAAGTTACATGTAAGTTTGTTTATAGCGATTTATTTAAAATGTGTTTCTTTAAAAGTAAATAATTTTAAAAAAAAACGATATGAAAAAAAAATTAGTTATGTATTCAAAGGCAAAATTAATGGGAAAGTAGAGCTAACTCGCTTAGGAGAAACGTGAAAAATCGCCGTACTGTTATTGAAGCCAATGATTCTTAATTTTTAGCTAATATATGCATATTCAAATAAAAATAATAAGCTTTGTATTAAAATCAAAATAAATGGTGTAAAGGTATTCGTTTAGTGGTACTTCTTTTTCCTTTTCTTCCAGACGCGGATACGTACATAGGTTAGTAAAACACTTACCCATATAATCCGAGTCTGGGCCACTATTCCAGCCAACCCCGGGAAAGGAAGGAGGTTACAATTTTGATTACAAATATACAGAAATATTCATTTGAATATAGTTCAGCAAGAATTTTTTTTATAAGTATATACGACATGGAAAGTAACAATAAATGAATTTTGAAAAGTAAATTATTAAAAAGAGATTAATTATAGAAAATTTCTTTTAAAAAATCGTTGATTTCCTTAGATGGTGATATTACAGGTAAATAATATTAATTTAAGTTCCCCATTAAAATTTTGATTTCCAGGTATTGAAATAATAAAAGAAAGTAATTGAAATGTTATATTCATAAATAAGAAATTGAATAGAAAAATATATACAATATTTACAACATATAGGTAAGCATTCCAAAATATATATTAATTTTTTTAATTTAAAATTTTAGAATATTATCATTATCAGAAAGAAAATTCATTACTAATAATGATTTGGTTTTAAGTGTATTGCTGATTATGAAATGTTTTTGCCAGGTTGGTAGATTAGTAATATTCGATGCACGAGTATGCCATGAAGCTGTATAGATGCATTCAGCAAGATAGTGTTCTGGAGTGCCCAGAAGGTCGCAAGTACAGTGATCATTATCTGAGATATTTTAAATAACAGGGAAAAGGAAGATGCCCAGTTAAAAACCAGATTTCTTGTTTGGATGGTATCGTCTTAAAATAATCTACTTTATTAATAATTTTATGTAATCTTCCCTTATCTGAATTGTTCCAATAATTTTGCCAAATTTGTGATAAAGAGTTCCGAAGTTGATTCTTGAGATATGAGATCGGGAAGGGATATAAGTAATTTCGTTGATTAGTTGTCGACAATTTAGCTAGGGAGTCTGCATTTTCATTACCTGTTCTGTCATCATATTCTTTAATCCATGAGATAAATAAATTTGTATTAAGGAGTAATTTTCGTATTTTAGCCGAGGGTGAATTTTTCGTGCCTGGGTTGATTAGAAAGTATAGTACTGATTTAGAATCCGACCAGATTGTATATTTTTTAGATACCTTCAATGAAGTTTGGGATTTGATGAATCTAATGCATTCTAAAATAGCAAGTTGTTCAGCTTGGAAGACTGAGTTGTTATTATTAATTGTGTAATGATTAGAATGATTTATGTTGCAAAATACAAAACCAGTTCCAGTATTTTGTGGAAAAATTGCATGGATCTAAGTGATTATAGTTTTTATTTTCTGCTAAACTGATTAAATTAGTGATAGACTGAGAGGNGGTTTGAAGACACTCAATTCCCGTTCCCATGCGTTAAAATGCTGATTAAAAGGTGAAAGTTTTTAACCTGCTTCTCTTACGCAGGAAAAATAATTTTTTATACAAATATTATTATATAAATGATTATGCAAATATTATTTTTCACAATATTTTCTTTTTTTGGAATTTTTTATTATTAACGCTTAGATTAATATTGAATGGGCTGATCCCAACAAAGACTGAGTGCCAAGTTGGAAAATTTTGAATTTTGCGATTTAAATAACGCTTTTTACAAATTTAGGGAAATAAAATATTTATAGTAAAAAAAATTAATGTCAAAAGTAAATTTAATAGGTACGTAATTTTCTAATCATAATTTTCGAATTACGAAAGCTTTTTTTTTTTGAAGCAAGACAAATCTTTCTCAATTTTCAAATAATTGCTTAAAGTGATTCATTTTGAATTTTATTTCATTCATAAAATGCAAACAACTTTACCGATTTTGTATTTATTTTAAAAGTAGAATATTATAACACAGAAGACCAGCTATTGAAGAACGTCAGTGAAAGTTTATTTTCCTTTGTCATTTGTAATAATATTGAAAATATTGTATTGTAATATTGTATTGTAAATATTGTATTGTAAATATTGTATTGTAAATATTGTATTGTAATATTGTAATAATATTGAAAGCTTATTGAAATAACGAGAAAAAAACACCTTTGCAAATTTTCGAATATAGACCATAAAAACAACTCACAAGCTATTATAAAAGCTTAACGACCGATTCAATTC